CGGATTCTTTACCGGTCCCTCCCTTACTTCTAGCCGGCAACCCAGAAGAGTTGGTCTGCCTAGGCTTTAGGTGCCTGAAGGACGCCCTCCCCTTGGTTTATACTTTCGGAGCGTATGTTCTTTTCCTCCAGTGCGACAACCCGGCAGTTCGGCTGGTGTGTCCTCCCGCCAAGGACCTGGTCGCTCGGTTCTCCGATCTTGGGCCCCGGTTCGAATTCAGCCCTCCTGTAGTACCGTCGTAGATCACTACTACCTCCAAACTCGGGACTTGCCAAATGGGTTTTTGGTTATTCCGGTTCCTCAGGTTTATTGTGCCGAAGCTCCCATAACTAGATGGTATGACCGAGGTTACAGATTTCTAGATCCAACCGGTAATCGACAACCGTAAACCGTAACACAGGCTATTTTTCAAAATTCATCGTCCATGGGATTTGAACTCTAGACCTGCCACTTGAAGAGGGTGACAACCAGACCACTACACTAGGTCGCCACACCTCTTTAAAATTTCTATTTTAAATATATATTTACTTAGACTTTTTATATATAAATATATTCAAATATTTATAGAATAGCCTATTTGAAATATTAATACACCAATTTGGGAGTTGAAATAGTAAATAAAGTAGGTAAAGTGAAGAATATGCAGAAGGTAAGTAAGGATACACAAAATCCAGGTTAATCACATATATAGAAATGTTAACAGTTTTGGTAAATTTTAGCTATAGATAAATAGTTTATATATCTAAAATCCTAGTATCAATACTAATATGTAATATGTATATGTTTATAGCACTATCATATATCAATTTACTTAAGTATTAATAAAAGTTTAAGGTGAGTGCTACACTTAGGGTATTTCTCGAAATATTAAAAAAAAAAAAAGTATTTATAGAATAATATTTACTAAAACTTAAATCTAAAATCTACTTGTAGAGAGTTAAATATCTTAACTATTAAGCCATAATATCCCAACTTTATTAAATTTTAATTAATTAATTTAAAGTAAATAATATAGTTATGATGTGATTTCTTGAAAGTTATTTTTTTGACTTGATATTATAAGAGATAATAACTTGTTAAAAATAGATATCTCAACTAATAGAAAGCTAATTCTAACCTTATATGATATTAAATAAGTAACCTATAGAAAAATGTCTTTTGGAAAATTGAGTAACAACTAATAATATTTACTATTTTAATATACAAAAATTATTAAAATATGAAAAAAAACTCTATATAATAAACCTTGTAGCATTTTAGAATTAAAAAATTTATCATTAGGAATTTTTTTAACTTGTTAAGCTATTAAAACAACTAATCTTTTTTTTTAACTAATTTTTTTTTGTAAATTTTTTATTTTACTATTCAAAATATTATTATTATTATTATTTTTGGTATTAAGATAAGGCCTTGCTTGTATCTTTATTAGGTAATTTATACAAGTAATTACATAGAGTATATATAACAACTTTATTTGTATAATAACAAAAAATATAAACTATATGCAAGAATAAAAGCTCAGACTAAAAACTCAGCAGAGCTCAAGTTAGTTATCTGCAATCTAAATCTACTAGAGTGGTCAAAACTCATCTAGATTTTAATAATAAGTATATAGTCTGTATATACTATCAGCCCTTCTCAAACTAATTCTGTTAAAACTGATAACCTGCTATAATCAGTCAAAAATTGATCTACCAAGCTTGTTTCTTAATTTATACCTGATAACTTGCCATTTCTGATATCCAATAATTCAAATATATAAGTTTCCGATTTATCAGAAGTAATCACATAATTAACAACTAATTAGAATTTGAAATTAATGAAGCAAAAAATTAGGTAATCAAGAAAGTGAAAAAGAATAGCGTATATAGTTCATATTTAACTATTAAGTACTGTAAAATATAATTTATATTATGCTGAATTTATTAATTAGTATAAAAAATTTATTGTTTAAATGGCTTTTTTTTTTTATACCAATAGTCATCAAGTTTTGTTAGTATAACTTTTCACTTTTTATTTTATTTTTTGTTAATTTTTTAAGTAAAATTTCTTAAAAAATTCTTTTCATATACAGTCAAACCTCTCTATAGTCACACCCACGGGATACAAAAAAGTGTGATTATAGAGAAGTGTGCTAATTATAGAGGTCAAATTTATTATATTTAATAATAGATGGTTTTTTAAAAAATAAGCTTATAAATAAAATGTGCTTATATAGGAGATGACTATAGAGAGGTTTGACTGTATTTAGGCCAGAGGTTTATCGTGCACTTAGAGAGGGTGTGCATTTATAGAGGGTGCATTTATAGAGGTTTCACCGTATTAATAAAATTATGTATTTTGATTGGTTAATTATCACAGCAATCACGAATATATCTACCAAAATTAACCAATCATATGAATGTCTCCCTATGACATGAGCCCTCTATAGCAACCCTCGATTAAATAATTTATCGACTATTTAGCCGATGACTAAACCGTGGCTTGGTCGACTATAAACGACTAGCCGATAATAACCGACCGTAGCCGGCCGAACCCATCCGTAGAACTATAATAAATTGATCGACATATAATAATTACTGTACATACATGAAAAGTTTTAATTTGGGTTTTAGCTTGAAGCAAAGGAACATTGATTTTGGTAAATAATAACGAAGGAAAGCGATATGAAATATTTACAATCAGCGTTAGTCATACTGTAGTACGTACGTAAATGCCTCAATATAGTCGATCATATATAAACCCCTGTCACCTTTATATAACGATAACGCTTAACGGTTACGTTTAAAAAAATAAGAAATAATTATACAAAACAGTAACATAAACCTCCGAACTACGTAGTACGCATTCTTGAATTTCATGCTTATTTCTTGGTAATAAATTTCCAAAATAATTAACAATAAATAACCAAATTTGGTTAAGCATAACTCATTTCAAAAAAGTCATTAATGTTATCATAGTGATGCAGAGGAATTATTTCGACAATTGTGGAAATGATTCCCCAAATTGTGGAAATAATTCCACAATGATGGAACTGATCGTTAACAATTTCAGCAATTCCACAATTACACGAGTGTGGAATAGTCACATTGATAATCATTAATAATTTTAATAATTCGCGATTCCAAATCATGTGAATTGCCAATTTTATAATTTATGCAGAAGTTACATTTTTGATATCTGTCTTAATTTTTACTTTTGCACAATGATATATTAAGTTACAGTCAAACCCCCTAAGCGACATCCCTAAGTGCAAATACTATATACGTAAAACCTCTCTGAATACATAATTTAGTTTGGCTCCAACTTATATGAGTCCTATATATTTTACTCTCTTTAAATGCAAACACCTTTAAATGCTAGATTTTGATTTTTTTTTTACCACGACCCCGTGGGATGCACTTAGGGGTGTGACTGTAACATGAAATTGACTAGTAATTGTATTGAGCACAGCAAGTAACCTACTTTCTTGTAATTCATAACATTATCTATACTATCAGACCAATACTCTAAAGACCGCTATGCTATTACTGCAGCCACAGAGTCCATAACATTATACATGCTTCCAAACCTTAAATTACAATGTAGTTTATATATATAGTTGTTAGGCAAAATTTAAAACTGATGTGACAAAAGTTGAAACTAAAACTCTTTGATAAAGATGTAATTTGGAAAAAACGAAAAAATTAATAGTGAAAGTTAAAACCACAGCTAAAGCGAAATCTAAAATATAATTAATGTTTTAATTAATAGGATGCAATCTAAAATGATCTCAAACACCCTTGTCAATGTGTTAAAATGTGTAATTTTTAATAGTTGAGAATATTTTAACCGAATGAAGCATGCTTATCATTAAGATAAATAATGTATAAAATGCGTGGCTTATTACACCAAAGAAAAAATTTCTTCACTATATCAGAAGTTCACTATGACAAGTGTTTACATTATAGTAGTTTGGTATAGAAATATGGCAAGAAAACAATACTTCTATCATTGCGCTAGATTAAAGACAGAATGTCAAAAATGTAATTTTGCATGAATTGCAATTACACAATTCACATGATTTGGAATTGTTACTAAAATTACAAATGATCATCAATGCGACTCTTGTAATTGTGAAATTACTAAAATTGTTAAATTCCACATCGTAGAATAATTTCCACAATTGTGGAAATGATTTCCCTGCATCACTACTGTTATCAATGAAAAAAAATAGCGGATGATTTAAAATGTCGGCTAAATTTGTTAATCATAATAAGAAAAACTCCGCCTGGTTCATTTAAAAGTATTCTTAATTGACATAATGAGACCATAAGGTTTGAACACAAAACAAAAACCAAAAGATTGTTAATTATATAAGAATAAAAATTTTCAAATTCACCTTTTGGTCGATTATTTTATTGATTACTTAATAAAAATGAATAAACTTTCGTCTGGCACTATTAAAAAGAATAAAAAAGCCAGAAATAAAAGACAATTACTAAAGCTTAGTGCTAATCATGAAACCACTGTCTTTGCTGTTACTTATAGTTTGGAATATGCTATTCAACAGACTAAAGAGAAGGTTGCTAAAGTACGTACATTAATTGATTTGCTTATTAGTAATGGTTGAAATAGAATCACTTCTTTTTGGTTTACATAAATTATTATTTTGAAATAATAAGATCTCACATGAATGTCGTGAACAAAATCGAAAATTTAGAGATCGTGAATTCGATTTATTTGTAAATATGGAAGATTGCCTTTATAATAAGAAAAAAGAAACTTTTAACGCTACCAACATAAAACGTGTCACTAGCATTTGTAAAAAGCCACAGTTTTTCATTGATGGTGTTGAGCCAAATGATATTAAACAAGGGGGTGTTGGTGATTGTTGGTTTGTAGCTTCATTGGCCGTCATTACAAATATTCCAAAATTATTAGAAACTATCTGTGTTGCTAGAGATGAAGAAATTGGAGTTTATGGATTTATTTTTTTTAAGGTTCGTATACTAACTATGCTTTATGTAAAAACTTAATATAAATAAAGCAAAGAGTATGCTGTATAGTAAATATATATTTTATAATAGGATGGTGACTGGGTTTCAACTGTCGTTGATGATCAACTCTTTACAACTGGTAAAGATGATAAAGGAAATTTTCAATTAACTTTTGCGTAAGTGTTAATTTATGATTTTCATGTTATTACTTTATAATTTGGATCTTTGTTAAAAATTTTTCTTAAATTATTAGTCATTGTTCGAATGAAAATGAAACTTGGTTACCAATAATTGAAAAAGCTTATGCAAAAATCCATGGTGATTACGAAAGCATTGTAGGAGGTTGGACTGGTGAAGGTATAATTAATATTCACAAACAGTATTATTTCTTCAATATTCATAAACTTCAACTCTTAAGAAATCCCTCTTCTGATTTTCTTAAATAGGAATAGAAGATATAACAGGCGGTGTCTACACACTGTTATTCACCACCGATATTTTAGATAAGGATAAATTTTGGAATGATATATTAAAAAATGTTAATAATAATTTATTACTAGGATGTGCTAGATTTGAATTTAGTGATAAAGATATTAAAGATTTAAAAGGAACCATTAGCAATCATGCTTATAGTATTTTACGTACGGCTGAAACAGATGATGGTATTAAACTTTTGCAAATGAGAAATCCCTGGGGAAAAACTGAATGGACCGGTAAGCCAATGAAAATTCTGATCGTGGTTCTTTATATTTCTTTTTCTCACTAATTTTATCTTATAAAAAAAGGTGCATGGAGTGATGGAAGTAAAGAATGGACTCCCGAACGTATGATTAAATTAAATCACCGATTTGGCGATGATGGTACTTTCTGGATGAGTTATGATGATTTCCTTAATTATTGGGATATGGTTGACATGTGTAGATTATTTGATTCAAGCTGGATGGCTTATATAACTTGGATTAATTACAATGTTGTACCAAGATCTAAAGGAAAGTTTAAGCTAAGTTTACCGGAAGAATGTCATCTGATTATTGTCCTTCAACAACCAGATAGTAGATATTTTTGCGATGATCCTAAATATGAGTATGTATTTTTTTTTTTTCATATTTATCAACATATCAAATTTTTATATTACTTTCCTGCTCATTTTTTAATAATTTCACGTGTTAAAAAGTTATCAACTAAGTTTCCGAGTATTCAAAGAAGGTGATGATTCAACTTATTTAGTCCGTAGTCGTTCAACATTTCCATTCGCTTCTCGTAGCATAAACCATGAAGTTAAACTTCCAGCTGGAGACTATATAATTATTCCTCACGTAACCCGTGAAACTATTCCTGAACCGGAGAAAAAATCTGATGAAAATAAAGATGAAAGTAAAGAAAAAGTAGTTAATATAAAAGATATAGAGATAGAGGTTAGGAAACGTAAAGAAAGCCGTATTAATAAGCTTTCGCTTGGGCTGGATGCTAATGATGACGAAGATGATGATGATGAGGATGATGAGGATGATGATGAAAAGAAAGAAAATTGGGAATTACAATTGGGATTAAGAATTTATAGTAAATGTACAGGAATTAAATTGGAAGGAGATCCAGGAGAATTTCCCAAAAAGAAAGATAAAAAAGATGAAAAAGCAGAAGATAAAGATCCGGAGGTTGATACTAAAGTCATTAAACCTAAAGATGAAGAAGAAAAAGATAGTGATAAAAAAGATGAAGAAAAAGATAGTGAGAAAAAAGATGATGAGAAAAAGAATGAATAAGCAAAAAAATCAATTTTTATCTTTATATAATTTATGTCATTTTCTTTTATAATTTTTGGATATAATATATTTAAATTTATTAGAAATATATTTATACTAGCCTTTCTTTGATATTTCTATTTAACCCTATCTGTTTTATATATTTAAATTTATTTCATGTAATTCTTCAATGTAATTTAATCCTAAAGCTGAACTGTTATATGCTGTTTTATAGGACTTGATTATTGGCTTGTTATTTATTTGTATTTGCTGTAAATGTATATTGAATAACTGTAGTTCAGAATCCACTTAAGTTGAATTTGGATCTTAAGAAAACCTTAAACAGTTACTGAATTTTATGCGATCATATTAGCAAATAATATATTTAAAGTTAAGATTTTTTTTTTAATAAATAATTTTATCGAAACTTCCTTTACTTACGTATAAAGACATATAGAAACAAAGTAAAGCAGAATAAGATACTTAGCAAAAAATTACAATACATTTATTACAAAGCGTTCTCAAGCATTACTTAATGAATCAGATTCAATCAATTAATTAATCGGAAATCAAAAACTAACGATATTAGTTACAATTTCAATAAATTACTATAAAAAATATAAAGCTACTTTGACCAGTGTTTCGGGCGAAACCCGATTTTGCAGATCATTTGCAGATCAAATCGGGCGAAACTAGTTTCGGAGGGTTTCG